ACAATGTAAGGTAATTTACCAGACTATTGTAAGTTCATTTTTGCAAACCATCTGCTTCGTTAATTCCTGTTGCGATCTTGATTTTTCCGTGCTTATCAAAATTGCAATTTTTGCTTTTGTTTGAGTTTAAGTTTCTTGACAATGAAACTCATTTTCGAAAATGAGATAAAACACTACTTTAGAAACGCCTCTCGTACATTGTAGGTGAAAGACAAAGACAAGCTGGTTACTATGGTTATTGATATCTAGTTGTCACTTCCGCACTCATTTTCGTGGGCACTCGCCCCTGGTGGCAAAATCCAGTTATGTTACGAGGGGGACTGAAATTTTAACTGTTTTTAAACTGTTTAACTAAAATAAATCGCAAAACGGACATCAATAAGTATTACTGTGCGAATCATCAGCGATCAGCATCATTATCAGCGAAACAAAGCCAAATRGTTTTTTCCGTGTTTTGAAATGATTAAATTGCTGAAAGAAAAACGGGGAAATGTGCAGTGAAACCTTAAAATATTCCGTCTTTGTATTGGGATTAGACTGCAATGGCTAGATTAATTATGTCACTACTTTGGTTTCAGTCGGAGCATTAAATTGGCTTGAGCGCGCCACTCGAAAACCCATAGAAAAATTGAAGTGACTTTATTGTTTCCTTCATTGTATATATTTTCCTGACTGTGTTTCAATTCCAAATCAAATTTATTCCTGGGTTTCAGTCATTTATTGTCTCTATTTATTGATCAAAATACGTTTCGGTGTTTTTTTCCACCATCAGTTTTTCTAAAATAACAGATAGTCAAAAAAAAATCATTAATTTAAAAAACAACCACAGTTCGTCAACAGCCTCATCATTTTTTTTTGATTTTTTTTTTGATTTTGATAACACAAAAATACTGATTAAGGGTCATATTTAGAATTAGTAGAATTGCACTCTTTTAAGAATATCAATCTAGTCCATAACGACTTTAAATGTGCTTTTGCTCTGTCTACTTGATTGTCGTCTAAAACTACCTTATACCGAGTGTCCAAAAATATCCCAGCAAGAATTACTTCATAGTCTAATAGCATAACTTCTCCATCCTCCATTTTCCTTAAGATAACTGTTGCAAAGGAAGGACCAATTATTTTATATTCATTCAGGAGGATAAATGATTATTTTCATTTTTCATTTGCTTGTAAAATGTACAGTAATTTCTTTCAAACGTTACAAGCAGA